GCGCGCCGCTGCTTCCGCGGGGCCCGGCGCCGGCGCCGGCGCCGCTGCCTGCTGTTTACAGCTCGTTCGACGCCCCGCGGCCGCCCGCCTTCCAGGTGACGTCACCGCCGCAGCGGTCCGCCGCGGGGCGTCCCGCCGCCGGGGGCGAGCCGCTGGGGCCGGCCGCCGCGGGCCAGCTGATCGCGGGGCTCGCGGCGGCGCCGGTGATGGTGGCGCTGGCGCCGCTGGCGTTCTTATCAGAGGCGCAGAGGCTGCAGCGGCAGCGCCGCGAGGGCGGCGGCGGCAACGCATGAGGAAATGCGCAGCCCGCTGCATCGTCCACACAGCCCCGACGGCTCCCGGGCCCTCCATGCCTGTGGTCTAGCGGCGCCCTTCCTCCAGCGCCTCCCCAGCTGCCTGCAGGCCCAGGCGCACGGTGCGCATAACAGTTCGGGGATCAAAGCTCTCAGGGCTTTAGCTGCGCGTGTGATGTTGCCCCAGTCCGGGGGTTCGCGGTGCAGTCCACTGCAGGCAGGTCTCGCCGCTTCGTGGGCGACGACCAGGCCAATACATTGGGTTTGAGGCTGATTGACCGATCGCGGTCCTCGGCCCTCGGCCCTTGGCTTAGCGGGAGGCGCCAGTGAGGCGCCTGCTCGCACGAGGCTGCCGTGAAACAGCACTTGCCGGGGCAGGGTTGCGCGTGTCATGCAAACGGTCAGCGACCCAAACCCAATCTGCCTGCCATCCGTCGCGCGGCACCGCACACGTGCCGCTGTCGTGCGCTGCTGTGCGCCCGCACCCCCTGGCACGCGCTTGGGAGACTCGAGCAGAGCGTGAGAGACGGGAAATCGGCAGCGGCGACGCTTTGCCAGGGCGTGCGGCGTTGGCTGCGTTCTTTGCAGCACACAGAGCCCAGCTTCGGATGTCCTTATGCAGTGTGGTGCCAGTGTGCTGCTGCAGAGTTTTGAGCAGTAAAAGTTGAGCATACAGTTTTGTTGAGAGTCCTCTCCTGCTGACTGCGGATCTTGTTCAGAGAACCTCTTTCCTTGCACATTGTAAGGCTGTACTCGCTGCATACTGCCACCCCGCAACAGTGCTCACCAGAGGGGTGACATAACTGCAGCGTCAAAAGGTTGCTTTTGCACAGGCATGCCTCAACCATTTGCTGTGCAAGCCAAAAATTGCCAGTGAGAATCAGAATCATTTCATCAATACCTACGTGCGCCAAATTATTGGGAGAAGAGCAATCGCTCACACCCCAGTGCTGCCGGTGGCTCCCCATGTGTCGCAATGGGACGTCGCCGCCGGCGCTGCCTGCTGCCGCTGCCGTGTGCTGCCTGCCGTCACAGATTTTGCCAGCCGCCCGAGTCATCGTCCAACGGGCTCCACTCGCCCGCGCCCGTCCCGCCGTGCCCCGGCTGCCACCTCCCACCGCCCCCTTGCCCGCCGCCGATGAGCCGCCCAATGAGCCGGCTAGCCGTCTGCTTGCTGAGGCCGCGCAGGTCGTCCTCTGTCAGCTGCCCCGCGCCCAGCACCGCCTCCATGCGGCCACGCATCCCTGGCAGCAGCCGCAGCAGCAGGCGCGTCTGCTTCTCCGTCGCGGCCACGTCGCCCGGCGCCCAGTCGAATCGCCGCGCGCGCGCCGCGGCGG